TAAAAAGAAAAAAATAATAAATAAATAAACGAGCAATAAAATGTGCACACAGGGAAAGCAGTTAATCTTTTTGTGAAGAAACTTTAATCTGTTGGGAATTGTTGGCCGCAGTAAGATTGATCTTTGTTGCTCTCTCTTTCTCTTTTTTTTCTGTCTCTAGTCGATGGTCCACCATCCTCTGGCACCTCTAGAACTTGCTGCTTTAGGGTATCTACTCCAGTTTCTTCCTCAAACACTCTACATTCATTGTCTACATCATCTTCAAAATAATCTTCTTTCAAGTACTTTGTCGTTGGAGTAGGGGATGGACTTGAATTAAGAAAAGGGGATTGTCTGTTAACGATTCGTTACAAGAACTCTGCCTTGTTTAGTGTTTTTCATTATTTACCACTAGTTTGTCCAAGTCCAAATACAAGAATATTTTTCCTCATTAATATTTCATCTTGAAATGAAATTTTTTTTAAGCTTAATATTTTCCGCTACGAGGGCTTCCATGTATTTTTTAATTCAGACAAATCGAGCTTGAAACTTGTAAGTTCCTGCTTTATATCTTCTACACTCTGGTTGGTTTTTTCAAGCAGCTCAAAATTTTTTTCGTTCTTAACGGAGGACATTTAATGATATTCCGGCATCAGCCGCCATTTTTCATAACAGATACCAACAACCATACACGATTGAAAAGGGATTTCAAGGAATTTTCATAAATAAAGTTATCGGCAATTTTCTAAGTGGACGGTTGTTGGGGAAGAAATCGCCATGCAGTTTTTACCATATATCTATGTCAATAATCGATCTCATCGAATTTACTCTATTTAGTTTAGATATAGGGTCTTTCTGTTAAAGTACTCCTAGTAAGACCACCCTGTACAGTAGTTATAGTTTAGTTCAAATTCAATAGTAGATATTCTCGCTGCCACAAAACGTTTCGCCATAAAATGATGCGAATTAAAAATAATTTTTGAGTAACTGGAAATACTGCAAATAATATTTACTCAAAGAAAGAGAAACAAATAAATGCAACCACAAGGCAGATGTTTTGCCAATATCTCATTTGGCATCTTCAATGCTCGCGTTCCAAAAACACGTGTTTTCGTGTATATATATATATATATATATATATATATATATATATATATATATATATATATATATATATATATATATATATATATATATATATATATATATATATATATATATATATATATATATATATATATATATATATATATATATATATATATATATATATATATATATATATATATATATATATATATATATATATATATATATATATATATATATATATATATATATATATATATATATATATATATATATATATATATATATATATATATATATATATATATATATATATATATATATATATATATATATATATATATATATATATATATATATATATATATATATATATATATATATATATATATATATATATATATATATATATACTTAAGAAATGGTTCTTGGGTTTTTTTTGGAGACTTTTTCAGTATTATATTTCCTTGAATTCTTTGAAAATATTTATGATAGATTCTGTGAGGTTTTTAATATATTAATATATCTTTCTGTAACACATCCGAGCGTCTGGTTCCTCTGTTGGACCGTCAAATGTGTTGGAGTTATAGATTAATCTCTTAAGTATATGTTTTGGATATCCGTTATTGACAAAAACGTTGAAAATTTTTTTCAGGTTATTTTGAACAAAACTGTCATGGCTCAAATGTGTAACTCTGTTTTTTATGCCTATAATTGTATTATATTTTTAGTTCTGTGGATGAGAGGAATAATAATTAATAAATCTACCTGAGGCAGTTTGAGAAATAAAAATTGCTAAATATAATATTGAAAAAGTCTCTAAACTTTTTTCTAGAGTAAAAGATCCAACTCCGCTACTATATAACTGTAATGTCATATATCGATTGTCGTGTTTGGGTTGTCAAGGCTGTTATATTGGACAGACCTCACAGTGGTTAAAACAACGTTTAACACAGCAGAAAAGTGATTGCCGTATTCATAAGAATACTTGTGCAGTGGTTGAGCATTACATAAAAACAGGACATGAATTTGACTACAGCAATCCAAAAATTTTGCAATGTGTCAATAATTATAAAGCCCGATTGTTTCTTGAAATGTGCCATATTAACAAAAACAAAGATTCAATTAATTACAAGTCTGATACACAACAAATAAGCAATATATACTGTAACATTTTTCAGTTAAACCACAGATAATGTAATGTTCGGCCACCGAGTAGCGTATCCGCGTTGCGTTGTTGATCCACGGAGTAGGTTATTTGGATGCCCCCTTTTTTTTGTCATTATTTAGATCGATTGTTTTTTTTTCTTTTCTTTGATTGTTTTTTTTTGTTTTTTTTTTCACTACCCCCGTTAGCGCAACTTTTGCCTACCATTATTAAGAATTGTATACTAAGTGTTTATCCGTTTGTTTCATTATGTCGCTTCGTTCATTTACCTTAACTGTAAAGTATGGTTTTTGAGGAACTATGTGGTAGACTCTAATTTTGTAAGTATTTCTCACGATTGTTTTAATTGTCTGTTATACAGTTTGACCTGTTGTTTTCATTAAATTTTAGTTCACTCCTGAAGAAGTCAACAAATAAATTGACGAAATATTGAGTGTTAAAGAAAAAAGGAGCTTTCTATTTTAACTACGGATCGCTACCCGATACCCTTTGAATTGAACTAAACTATAACTACTATACAGGGTGGTCGTACTAGGAGTACTTTAACAGAAATACCCTATATCTAAAGTAAATAGAGTAAATTCGATGAGATCGATTATTGACATAGATATATGGTAAAAACTGCATGGCGATTTCTTCCCCAACAACAGTCCGCTTAGAAAATTGCCGATAACTTTATTTATGAAAATTCCTTGAAATCCCTTTTCAATCGTATATGGTTGTTGGTATCTGTTATGAAAAATGGCGGCTGATGCCGGAATATCATTAAATGTCCTCCGTTAAGAACGAAAAAAATTTTGAGCTGCTTGAAAAAACCAACCAGAGTGTAGAAGATATAAAGCAGGAACTTACAAGTTTCAAGCTCGATTTGTCTGAATTAAAAAATACATGGAAGCCCTCGTAGCGGAAAATATTAAGCTTAAAAAAAATTTCATTTCAAGATGAAATATTAATGAGGAAAAATATTCTTGTATTTGGACTTGGACAAACTAGTGGTAAATAATGAAAAACACTAAACAAGGCAGAGTTCTTGTAACGAATCGTTAACAGACAATCCCCTTTTCTTAATTCAAGTCCATCCCCTACTCCAACGACAAAGTACTTGAAAGAAGATTATTTTGAAGATGATGTAGACAATGAATGTAGAGTGTTTGAGGAAGAAACTGGAGTAGATACCCTAAAGCAGCAAGTTCTAGAGGTGCCAGAGGATGGTGGACCATCGACTAGAGACAGAAAAAAAAGAGAAAGAGAGAGCAACAAAGATCAATCTTACTGCTGCCAACAATTCCCAACAGATTAAAGTTTCTTCACAAAAAGATTAACTGCTTTCCCTGTGTGCACATTTTATTGCTCGTTTATTTATTTATTATTTTTTTCTTTTTATTTTGTTCTCATGAAGCTGGGTCACTTAAATGTTCGATCAAAACTTTCAAAACAAACTCAAGAATCCGTTATCTGAGAGTAACATTAGGAAATTACATAACAACGTTGTTTTTCTTTAAGATTATTGATACGGTTTAGTATAAATTATTGTTGTTTCGGTGAGGTTAAGCTTACAAAAGTCCATTAGGGCGACGCTTCATCTTTTCACCACGTAATGCAATTGTCATATTTTTCATTGTTTCTTTTTTTCCTTTGTAATTCATGGTGAATAAAGACGTTAATAATAATAATAAAATAATAATAATAATCTGGTCATTTTTCTTAATTCGGGGTCAACTATGATTGGCATATAAATTAAAAAATCTAATTACGCCTCCGCATTTGACTTTAAAAAAGGGCCCCAATAATGTTAATATAATATTATATATATATATATATATATATATATATATATATATATATATATATATATATATATATATATATATATATATATATATATATATATATATATATATATATATATATATATATATATATATATATATATATATATATATATATATATATATATTACCAGGGCCAGGTAATGTTCTCGCAGAATTAATCAAACATGGAACACACAAACTGTATGATCATCTAGCAAAGCTCTTTCAGAACTGTATCAATGGCGGAGATATCCCAGAAGAATGGAAATTATCCTTCCTTACTCCTATCCATAAAAAGGGCAACAAAGAAAACTGCCACAATTGTCGAGGTATCACAGTGACGAGCTTAATCGGTCAGATTTACGGTAAAATATTAAAGGCCAAAATAGAACGCGAATACACAAACAGTAAAGCAGAAGAACAAGCGGGATTTTGCGCGGGAAGATTCGTCGTTGACCATCTGTTTTGCGTCACCCAGCTTATCGAGAAAATGACAGCCTTCAATTAGGAGATACATCTCCTGTCAACATAATAAGATCAGTGAAAGAACTATATAGAAACTGCCACATTAAAGTCAAGAGGACGGTCAGGCTAGCAAAAGCTGCGAAACCTACAAATACCTGGGAATGTACATATCCAGCAGTGGGACGTTAGACTACGCCATCAAAGAACGAAATTATCAAGGCAGAAAGGCCATTACTGAACACCTTCTTGTGGGATATATATATATATATATATATATATATATATATATATATATATATATATATATATATATATATATATATATATATATATATATATATATATATATATATATATATATATGATAAAGAGGAAGAGAAACCGCTGAACCACACGTTTTCACGTGTGCTTATAACAAAACAACCTCCCAGATTAACGGGTCGCCTAACTCCACTTGGAAAAATTAAAATTTCTTGAAAGTTACGCACCCGAGCATGACGCCGTCGCCCGAAAAGTACAGCTCACCATATTCGTGAGGCCCTACCCGTTCCCTGCTCTTCAACGCTAGAATTTTGATTTTTCCGTTGTGCAGGATTCGGCCCACAGAGCCCGGCTTCGATAAAGCGGCCGCGTAATTGGCCGAAGACACGGCCGTTATGAACCCGGTCTCGGTGGTGAAATAAACCTGCAACAGTTTTACGTCGGGCAGGAGACGCCTCATGTGGTGCAGGTCGCTCCGCGTCGTCGACACGACGCCCACCAGTGCGCATTTGAGACAGTCTAAGTTGTAATCCTAAAATTAAACAAAAACTAACCAAAACGCTTTCAACGGGATACCAGATAATTGCTGAAAATTAAAGATTTATTACTTAAATGCTTCAAATATGTTTACAGAACGGAGTCTTGTCATATTTAGGGGCCGTGCCTATATTGCCAGCATGGACAGGGTATACATGCTGAGAAGAAAATATCTACATCTGATATATGAGAATTTGTTCATCTGCATATCCGTCCAAAAATAATTAAGCATAATATGAAGAGTTACTTGGAAGGGAGAGTTCAGTTGGTCGAAACTGCGCAGGGTCAGTCTCAGCGGAAATAAATTATGAATTATGACATCAATAGGCAGATAACAGCCGTATTCTTTTTATTTTAATGAACGGAAATAGGCTAAAAATATAATTGAGGGCGATATGCAGCGACTGGTGTCATTCTCAGGAAAACATAGTTTAAAGATTAATCCCACCAAATCCAATGTTCTTTTTTTTGGTAGGTAGCACACTCTCAATAATACAATGAATCTGTGAATCGCGGGGGACTCCCTGTCAGTTTCTGACTGTGCTAAAGACCTGGGACTTGTTAACAATACAACAAAAACTCTAATTAACTGACTCTCTTATTTTAAGCCATTTCAATATTGCAGATGTAGTTTATAGTCCATGTTTGGATCAAAGCGATAAAAACAGAATCCATAAAGTTCAAAAATCCTCTTTGAGATCACATAAGTTAAGGGATGCAGGGTGGCTTGACATGGAGCAACGAAGAAGACTTCACTTTGTTTTGCCTTTTTTCATAAAGTGCGTCCGCAACGCCTACGTATTTGTAGAATAGTATCAAATACAGAACCGATATTCCTAATCTAAATATGAGATTTCGAGGTCTGATAACACCACTACAACACTCCACCACATTGTTTAGAAGAAGCTTCTCCTATAACGTGTATAGCCTGTACAATAGACTAACACTAAACTAAACATATAAAGATTTAAAAGGCAACTAAAGAAACTACTGCAGTATCTGACGATTAGTATTTTAAAAAAATACTTAAGCCAATTATTTCTCAGTATCGCACTGTTTTTATGTTATCGTTAAACTCAGTTTTTTCCCGAAAATTACAAAATTTAATAATGAAAATTTTAATTCACTTTTTAAAAAATCTCTCCTCTGTGATATTATGTTTTTTAGTTTGTAGGTTAAGTAAGGTTTAGGGGCTGGAATTTTGACAATTTAATGCCCCTTTTGACATTATGTTATAAATATTGTTTTTGTGTTTCTTTACCTTTGAAGTTGCAAATAAATGTATTATTATTATTATTATTATTATTATTGTTATTTTTTGAAAATCCTACTGTTATTTTCTAAATATTTTTTTTCTTTTAGAATTTCGAATAATATTTATGATATCTAATTTGCAAAAAAAAGTGTTTTTATATGCTTTATGTGTAATATCAGGTTTTGAAGAAAAATAAAAGAAAAGGAAAACAATTAATATTTCCAATATACATAATCGGTTTTTACAAAAAGAATCAAAAGAAATCTATCATAAAATGTAAAATGTGGAAAATATAGGAATGACAACTATGTTATCGCATCAAAATTGGTTAGGTATTATAAAATCGCTCTTGTAATCTAACAAAGTTATTCGGTTGACATTACATTCCGCAATTTATTAACTGAGACAAAGACAAGACGTGAAAGACGTTGAATTAGAGAGAATAAGTTGACTTAATAGCGTTGAGATAAATTCCCACAGAATACGTCAAACATTGGGTATAAAACTAGTTTTTCTTAAACCAATCTTCACATGATTCAAAATTCAGTTTAAATAAAATTGTTAACAGCTCCTCAACGTTTAGGATACTATTAAAAATATATAAGAAGTGTGTTCAAAAAGCAAGGTGAATTTTAAGTTTTATCAAAAAGTAGTTACTTATTCATCAAAATTAATGTTGTCTCCTTCAAAGTAATCCCCCCAGATATAAAACACTTGTGCCAACTTTTTTTTCAAATCTTGAAGCACTTTTGATAAGCACTGTCTCAACTTCTTCCAGCTTTTTTTTCTTTATCTCCTCAACCGTTCCAAACCTCGTTGCTTTGCATGGTTTCGGAGTTTTGGGAACAGGAAAAAGTCGCAGGAAGCCATTGTGGTTTTGTTTTTGACCAAAAAGTTAGACACAAGCAATGATGAGTGAGCAGGTGCATTATCGTGAAAATGCAAAATCCACCAATTGTTTTAGTAAATTCCGGACGTTTTCTTCGCATTGTTGCTTTTTATTGATCGTACTACGTTGTGGTAAGAACTCTTGATGTAAAAGCAAAACCTTGATATTTGATCGAACTTGACATGTTTTTTTCGGTCTTGACGATTCTGGGTTCTTCCATTGGCGACTGGGCTTTGGTTTCGTCTTCATAACCATATACTCATGATTCGTCACCAGTTTTGATCTTTTTGAGCATATCAGGCATCATCATTGACGTCATTTAGCAACTCTTGAGCGACACTCTTTCGACGGTCATTTTGTTCAAAATTTCGGAACAAATTTTGCCTCTATACATTTCATGCCCAAAACTTCAAAAAAAATTGCATGGCACGAGCCAATAGAGGTGCCGACGTCTTCAGCCGCTTCTCTAATAGTGATGCGACGATTTTTCAACACTATTTGTTTCTATTCTTCCAGAGCGATGTTCGTCATCGGCGTCTTCTAGCCCATCCTGGAACAGCTTGTACCATATAATTTTTTTTGCTCACAGTAGATTCACCACATGCCGTTGTCAACGTTTCAGGTAATTTGCAGCACTGTATTACATTTTTTACACAAAATTTTAAGCAAATTCTTAGCTCCATTGTTTTTGAAAGCAGAAAATCGCAGAGTACACAAAATACGTCTAACGCTTCTGTCTCACAAAAACAGTGGACGTGCAAACTCCCGTGTATATTAGGGACACCTGTATCAGCAATATATATCGAAGATCGTAGCATGCTCAATTGCAAAAGTCAGCTTACTTTTTGAACACACCTCGTATGTCGTTGGAAATATCGTTCTTATTATAGTCTGTCTCAATCTTCATCGTGCTTAAAGTTAAAGTCTGTTCATAGATATAAGAAAGTGACTAACTGATACGAATTAAGGAAAGACTCGGGCAAGCTGTAAGAATGAAATATGGCCGAACAGGTCCGTACTTTGCTTAGAATTTAATTATTTGGGGGTTTGTTAGGAAAGATACTAAACAATATTTATTTATTTATGTATGTAAATATGTTTAAATCTAAATAAAATTACCAATTATTTTTATTACCTACTTAAATTACTTAAAATTATTCACATAATATATCAATATCACTATCGCTATCATCGCCTGTTCTAGTTATTATTTGTTCTATATTATTTGCAATATGGATATACGATTGTTATCCTTTTTCTATATGTTTAACAGAATTTGCCCAACTTTGTGGAGGGATGTTAAAAACCTCGGTTTTTATAAGTTTGAGGACATTGGAGGTAACACGGGGGAAATTTGTTATTATACATACAGTTTTGGATTGTTGCTTTTGTCACATGAGGAAGGGGTTTTAGTCAACTGCCTACTGTCATAACTTGCATTGTCCATTACAATTACTACTATTAGGAGGAATGTTTGGAACTAGTTTGTTTTTAAACCAACTTTCAAATAAATCAACGGTGGTGTCTTCATGGTAAGTCAAAGAAGATTCTTTAATATTTTTCGCAGACAGAGAAAGTCCATTTGGGATCCAACCATCTTTAGAGCCAGCATGCAAAATAGTTATTTTATTACATCTTTTTGATGGCGCGTTTGTTTTACACTTATCAGTTGAGTCAACCCAATACTTTTCCGGGGTATCATAAATGTCGAACCAGGTTTTATCCAAGTAAATAATTGGCCTTTGTTGTTCTCTGTAAATCCTAATTTTTTTTCTAGATATTCCAGTCGCCATTTCCAAATTCTAAACGATTCCATTAAAACTTGCCTTTTGTCAATTTTTTTAAATCTAAATCCCATGTGTTGAATACATACATAAGATAGTTCTGCCACATTAAACACCGGTTTCATCTTTTTCAAGTCTCCTAATTAAGATATCTAATGTAGGCACGCTTTGTTCCTCGTACAACTGGTAAATTTTACGCCGTATTATATCTTGGTCACTTTCATCTATAGTCGAGAAAATGTCCGCATCGCTTCTTTTTTCCTCGCTGAAATGGGATTATTCACAATTCTCCATACAGTTGATGTTGGATTTTTTGTCAATGTGACCGTTTATTCTAAAGATGCTTGCTTGCTGGCACCACGTTCAATGAGAGTCAAATAAACATTGTTTATAACTTCCTTAGTCTCAATAGAATAGTGTTTTCTACATTTGGGCGGGAGCATCGCCTGAGATACACTAGACTCCCACATATTTTGCATAATTCGCACACGATTCAACACATGCTGTATTACACACTAATAAACGTAAACTAAGTAGTATACCAAACCAAAGAATATTAAACACAGGTAGGTATAAAATTATTTTCTATTACGGACGATAATTTTACCTGAATTTAAATTCCTTTATTTTAGGTAATAATCTTGTTGCATTCTATGTTAATGACCACCCTTGGATAATCCCATTCAAAAGCAATTGGTCACTTTCTTATATCTATGAACAGACCATACCTGCCGACGGCAATAAAACTCGGGTAGGTATTAAAGGACAGAACATTAGGGACGGACTCTCAAAAGTAGCATGCCCAGTTACAAAAATCTCTTTACTTTATGGACACACGTCGTATATCCAAATCGACTTATCAGTTCGCGAGAAAATTAACTTTGAGATTGACCCAAGTTTATATTAATTCCATAAACCAGGATAAAAAAAATCATGTTCCCAAATTTTCAAGAGATTCAAATTCAATTTAATCAACTAAGAATCTTCCCTAAATTTTCTCTACAATATTCTATATATTTTATAGCTGTACGGTTCTAACATCACGCACACTTTAAAAGACGTGCCACTTGGTCCCTCACCCTTATGGCGACGTTTTCTATCAGCTTCAGCGTCAGATCGGTGCCGAGGATCGCGGTGTCGACGACGAAGTCCTGGATCAGTTTGCAGGCGGAACGTTCGTTGAACGAACCCGGCAATATACGCAATACGCCGTAGTCAAACGAGGCGCAGCACAGGACCGTCTGCACTATCCAAGACAATGGAAAAAAAGAGATCACTTTCGATGGCCTATCAAATATCTCCATGAAGAGACATGTCTGCGTATAAACGTTGTGGTGAGACAGACAGGTCAGTTTCGGCTCAGCGCACGTCCCTACAAAAACCCAAAGAGAGGTTCCCAAAGACCATGGACTGGATGCTGTAATCGTGCCCTGCGTGGGTAAAATAAATGCCACTTCGTTTTCCGGCCTGTCGATGAATACCGGCTTGAACCAGTCTGGTTCCCTGTAAGGGAACAGTTTGCAGAACTGGATGGTGCCGGCGTGGTCATTGCCAAAGTTGACCACGTCACAGACGATGTTCAAGGTCGCGAGGATCCTCTCGATCTGGCTGACGGTTCTCGAGTCGCAGAAGCACATCCGAGGCTTAAGTTTGCGCACTAGTTCGAGGCATTCGCGGTAAGGGGAGTCGGGATTTAGGGGAGCAACTATGGCGCCAAGAAACAACGTTGCTAGTACCACGATGGTTTGGTGCGCGTGGCTCCTGCTGGATATCAGGATTATGTCGTTGAGACGGACGCCGCGGTCCCTCATCTCGACTGCCACCTGGATCGACCTCGACCTCACCGATCCTCTTGTCTCCGTTATATTGTTCACCAAGTCTACCTACAGGTATACAAATTCTCATTTTCTTATTTTTCTTTGCCTTTACTTATATAACAGTTGTTACTTTAAAGGAAACGAAAAAATGGAGAATGCGCCGGATTTTGGATACCTGAAGGATTTTGTCTGGTTCCATAACTAGCTGATCGTAATATTTATTGCCGAGGCCCCCGTAGCTCAACGGCAGACCCAGTTTGCTCCCGCGCAAATCAAACGAGCCTCTAGGCGGGGTCGTTTTCGACGAACCCGCCTTGAATTTCAAAAACATCGCGGCACTTGCGTTATCTGATGACCGACGGCTTTTTGACGTTTTTCGGACCGGATATCCGTCACGATCCAACGTTTGTGAGGGATCCTATGTGTTGGTAGTTTGTAGACGTTTGCATGTCAATTATGGCGGTTATGTCACAAGCCTTTCAGGAAATGTATTCGCACTGTTTTCAAAAAATGTACAGAAAAACTAACGGTCCTAGAAAAAGTATGTAAACACGTTTGATAAACTTTTTAAGTCACTCTTTCCGCTCGGGTAAAATGAAGCTAGTAATTAATATGACTAATATAATATTAAGTATTATTGACGTCTAAAAAATACGAACCGTTAGTAAAGACTGATTAGTTACATAGTAGCGCGGACCTACAAAGAATGATGGACAAAATTCATGGTCTTCAGCAAAGCAAATATCCGGGAAAGATTGTATGTTCGCAATGTGAAAGTCGAGAGAGTAAGTGAGTACAAATACCATCTCTACTGGAGGATACTCCCGAGAAATAAGATCCAGAGTAGGGCAAGTTAGAGCCGCAGTTACCAACATTCGAAAAGTATTCTGCGTTAGGCATCTAAACATCAATGGAGTGGTGGACAACGAACAAAAACGAAAAATACAAGGCAACAGAAGCGTGGGGACAAGGCGCACTTCATGACTGAAAAACCTAAGACCAGTGTAAATCAATACAATTATTCCGAGCAGCCGCGTCCAAAATGAAAATCACCATAATGATGGCCATTTTTGTAATTTGTAAGCAATTGAAACAAACTGATATCTGATGACCGCATTTTTGATTTTAGAGCAAGCAGAACTTTTTATGATTAAGTTTTTTTTTCCTAAAACGAATACTAACAAAGTTTCTTCGCACATGGTTTCAACTCACAAAGATATGGCGTATCAGCGTACAGATTTTGAACGAAACCTTGTGTTATTTTAATAACAATGATAACAATAATCAGATATCAAAATTATGGGGCAGCTGCCAGTTTACTTAGAAATCTTTTATTAGTATATATTTCAATATTATTATATTTGCGAAAATAGTATTTGTATTTGTAGCGGTCCCAATACTTGAACTCTGAAAAGTTTTGGGGATAATATAATTTTTTTGTTTATTTAGGTGCTTTAAATCTTATCAAATTACATTAAAAAAACAATGACATTAAATATATACAATTAATTCATAGTTAGGAATATCTATACATAGTTACATTTTTATTCTAAATGTCTAAATATAATTGTGTTTCACTATCAGAGTCGTCATTAAGATTAACAACAAAAGGATTTATGCGGTTTTGTATCGAAATGTAAGAGTCCTCAATTTTTATAATGTGCTGTACTGAATTTTTCCAGCTCTCAATTGGTATTTAGGTTATTTATTACATTTTTTATCAAATTTATAACACTGGGACCTTTGATTTTACTTGGTTCCGCAAATACTCTATGGGGTTAAACATGCAATAATATGAAGGAAAACGTCAAACAGTATGCCCAACCTGGTCAGCCAAACTATATACATGTTTTTTCATTGCATATAAATTTAGGACTTCAAAAAGTTGCACTTTTTGTAGCTGAATTCAAAATAAATATCATTTTCTAACAAATATTCCTAGATTTCAGTGTTTGAACTTTGCGCATTAGATGGCTGTGGTAGCTTGCGTTATCCAAGACAATAACACTGTTCTTGGGAATATTTTAAAACATTGGATACAATGTCATGGTATCGAACCATGTTTCATCAAAGTAAGTTATGGATTTGTTACTACTTGCCTTAGTCTATTTTGCGGTACCTAAATCCCATTTTACAAACAACTCTATGGAAGGTGGCACGGCTTATATTTATAGGGTGAGTTTGTTTTTGATTTGGTTGTGTTTATTTTTGTAGGTAGACGGGTTACTTTTAAAGCTGCTTGTTGAATAGGTCCTCTACTGATATAACTTTTTCGGAACGCACAGTGAAAACAATTATTCAACACTCTAGAAATATATCAGAAAGAAATATACCTGGCCCACCCCTTGTTTGTCACTCAAGAGAGAATATTTTTTTTGTTAATGGTTTTACCCAATAACAATAGGTAATAACATCGTTAAAGTTTTATTGGGGATGCTTCCATCGAAAGCCAACATGATGAAGATTGAGATACACTATAGGATGTGTAACAATACTTTTTAATTCTCACCTGCGCATTCACCATTATATCGAATGATAATGGAATTTTATTATAAATACCGCAAAACACAGCTTTTCTTCTTATACCGATTATCTACAAGCTAATGAAAATGCGGTACTCCAAAAATATTAGATTTGGCAAGTCGTTGCTATACTTAGATTATACAACCAGTTATACGCTGAGGTACTTTCCTATTTATGTAAAAATTGTTTACAGTTGCATTGAAATTTTAATTAATTTTGCAAAAGGCTGTTGAAAAAGATTTTTATTCATACCCAATCTGCCAGAAAATAAAATAATCGCCTGATATCAACTAATGCATTTAAGTAAATTTATACTCATAACTCATTATCAACAAAAAAAGTTGACTCCAAAAACATTTATACTTTTTTTTAAAGATATGTTTAAAAATAATAACACGAAAGCGCAAAGTACAAAGACTAATACAATAGTTAATTTATTTCATTCATTCTTCATTTTTCACTTCTCGTTTTTCTTTCTTCTTGGCAAATTCCGAAAGATCTCTCTTCATAGAATAAGCGTCTTCACCATCGGCGTAATATTTGGGTTCAATCTCCACGGTCTCAAATTTCAGCGAATTTTTATACAAATTCAAAGCTGCCCGATTGCTTTTTCTAACGTGAAGTGAAACATACTTAGCATCGAAACATTCTACCATGGCTTCTGAAGCTTGATCCATGAGTTTTTGAGCTAAACCTAATCGGCGATGCGATCTTTTCACAGCCAAGGAGGTAATATGCCCGTGCTTTAGGTCTTCTTGGTCCTCTTCCATTTTGGCCAATACATAACCTACAATTTTGCCGTTCTCATCCTCAGCCACGTAGCTCAATTGGGGCCAACTCAGGCCGTGATAAAAATAGTACTTCATTTGGTAGTTTTCGGGCAAACATAGCAAATTGCAGTGCTGCATGTTCATTAGGTCCTCTGGTTTTGCACAGCGTATGTTCATATCTACAAATATATCAGTCTCTTCGTGTTTTCTTAATCTTACTACGACTAGTTTTTAATTCGTGAATCACCCTAGAGCTTTCGTCACTTTTAAGCAGTTCCCGAACAAATTTGAAGCGACTGAGCACTAATATCCAAAGAATATACCAACCTATAACATAAAATGTCATTAACCTCAAACCTCTGTTGCCTCAGAAAATTTACCAAACAAAACGAATAGAACAACTAGACCAAGAGACGCAAAAACCGATAATCCAGCTAATAAAAAATCTTTCATTATTCACTACCCTATTATCTACTTTAAAAGAAAATTTTAATTATGGCAGTGCTTGTAGCACGTTATTACGCCATGTTGTAGATAACATTGATATACATAATAGAAAGCAAAGGTCTGCAACGGTGGCTAATCTCTAAACTATCGATAATAATTCTAAAATATGAGAGTAATTCTACTTACTCGATAAAAGTCCACAGAATTCGAATTTCTTTTTGAGCGCTAAATTAGTGAAAGATGGATCGTCAAATTTAAAATAGGTTATGCACACCGCAATACACTGAAGTTCTCTCTCTCAATTATCATAACTGTAATAAAAAAAAACAGGCTTTTCAAAAAGGAAGGCTACCCAAAAATATAGAACCAAGACAAGATAATGAAATGTATAACCCTCTGTCCCTGTAATTCTTAAAAAACAAAACATAGAAAACGATCAAATTAACAGCACCATTTCGCAGGGTGTTTGCTGAATTTGCAGAGGTGATTTTGATAAATCTAACGAAATTATGGAAATCACAAAAAAATAAGAGGATACGAGGTCAACAAATTAATACTTTCTCGCTTTTATGGTATTAATAATTTTATTTGAATTTTTTTAAATACAATTTGGGAATTTTTGTTTCCGGTTACAAACTTAAATCTATTTCATACAGAACTTTTACAGCATACGGAGAATGTACAATAACAAATTCCTCCTCTATTATTTAAAAAACTAATTTTCCTTATTTACAAATCATTATTAGATTTAATAATATTGTTATGTCCAATAGGCTTCCAGAACTCATTATTCGAATAAAATTATTATTATTACACTTAATGGAATCTCAATCTGTAAGCGGTCTACGCTCTATACCGAGGACGATTGACAAAAACAATTTTTTAAAATGAAGTTGGTCTTTGTTCAGAATTCTAGCAATCAGATCAGCTCTCAAAGGCATTAAAATAATTCTCTATCCTTTCATGATAGTTTTAGTGAATGTTTAAAAAGTTTTTATATGTTTTGTTGTGTATTTTGTTTAGGCCATTTATGACGACGTTTAACGAATTTTCCAGTTTTCTATGGTAGTTCTCAATTTGTATTATCTGATCACTACCGGGAATATATCTACCGTATAAATTATATTTTATGTTGTTTATCTAGTGTTTGCTAAATAAAAACATATACGCAAATACGTTGTCCAGTGTTTGTGATATAAAAAATGAAAAAACTAGGATTGGAATTATATTATAGACTCTGGATTCTTCTTTGAAACATATAAATGGACCCAGACAGTAATGTAACGTAAAACCCTTTGTAAAAAGCAGTTTAGCTGAACTATACCATCGTAACAAGCTATCCATTCGGTAGGAGCGTCTTAAGAAATTGTTGTTTTTTAAACTTTTCATTTTTCGATATAGTGTGGTTTAACAAAATCGGTTGATTTTGATCCCTGTAGTAAAAAGCGTAAAAAAGTCTACGGGAGCATTAAAAGGCAGTTTGACTACGCGTATTGCCAATCTGCTCTTTCCTACGCTCTAACTAACCTAAACTAAGTAAAAATTAAAGAATACTTTTTAACAACTTTGTCCAAGGTGAGTTAAATATATTTTGGTTTATTTGTATTTCTTATATCTCTACTAAATGTGATTTGAAAATGTCAATTTGTTTCATTGAATCAAATTTGTCTTTTATGAGTTCAAACTGAAGTGAACGTATATGATTTTGTTGTTAATTTTGAGTCTGTAGTACTCTACTGATGACGCACGATGTTCCTTCCTTAAGATGATATTGAGAATGACGCCGACAGCAGTATTTCCAAAACTTACAGATCAAGATTCTTTAGATCCCAATAAATGTCTATTAATTACTAGAACATCGAGAATAAGTCGAAGCGGTAATAATTTACTTTAACCGTGAAAATTCGGCTGCTTACTAAATCTGAGAGTTTATAATTTGCATGTTCTAAGCCAGGTTTTTTAGCGTAAATTTCTAAATACATTTATAAAGATGCATCCAAAAATATATTTTTTTGCCTTTAAACAGAGCAGATCCAAACGTTGTTAAATAAAACTGTATGTATTACCAATTTACTTTCTATTTTCCAGCGATTTTAAATTCATATGTTTTATGATAATCCCTATTTTTGTAAAATCGACAAGGCTTTCCAAAATGATACGCCAAAGGATAAGAAACAGTTTAGGCCATTTCTATGATAACTGCTGGATGATTCAAAAACGTTTAAACCATATTGTTCAATTTTTAATGACGCCTTTTTGGATGCATCTTTTTGTCGGTAATTTTAATTTATGACATAAACGATTATGATAATAACGAACAAATGCCAAATGCTTTGGATTTCGAAGAAGTCATAATAGACTTTTTCGATTGGCATTTATTCTTTGTGGAGTGTTTTTGGAAAACGCGCGTTTCGAAAAACACCGCAGACAATCTTAGATCTAAGAACCGACGACCTTGTTTCGGAAAGCCTTTGCTACTTTTTAACTCGCTACGCACTAGGTTAGCACCGTCCTATTAATTTTTGGACTACGTGAAATGGCGCGTTCCAAAACTAAGGTAGTCGGATAAAAGAATGTTACCGCCTGGTACACTTTCGTCGTGCGAAATGCATATAGAGAAATATGACGATGAAAGTGTACGTAATTTGTGGAAGGAGAGCTTAGAAACTAAATACGTGTGCAACAACACTGGAATCTGCAAAGATATTATCATCAGTTTCACGTAGTGCATGGAGATGCCATTTCGATAATTCTCAGTGGTACTTTCCTCGTGCCAAAACTTGGATTTCTGTTATACCATAGAGTTATGCAGTTTTCCAAGTTGCTCATTTTTTTTATTTGGACTAAATCTGGCAGACAACTTGTTTCACAAGTTTCGAAGCATTTTCCGGTTGTTACTTAAAAATGTCTTGGAGGCTTTTTATACAAGCAAATACCTTTATTTTATTTGGTCGAGGGCTTAGAATGATCGTCAAAACCAGGGTCTAGTTTTTATCTACATATTGGAAGACTTTGAAAGTTTTTTTGGTGGAAGACTTATGGATGTGGGACGAAATACTCTTTCATTTGCTTAAGGTCCGTGAAAATTTAAGGCGAATAAGTCAAACCGTTATTAATTATCCAAATTCTGGTTAGAGTATGGGTATTTGGAATTGCAATTCTTTTATAAACTAGTGAGATCGTTTTTTGATGAAAAAAACTCAAATGGATCGTATTGGCTGGTGTTAGATGTGGGGTTTTAAAATCTTTTATCTTCTCTTTCGACATCCAGGCTTTTTCTCTAAAATATAGGTAATATAACAATTTGTAATTTTCTAAACCAACACATTTTGGTATACAAGGAAATGGGAAGATGATATGAAGCTTCTGAATTTCGATTTGATCTTGATCGTGGCTTGTTTTTGTGGGTCCTTTTAAATTCATAGTAGCAAATATTATGAATGTACCCTCTAGGAAAAAATATGATCAATGTATTAACAGAAAAACAAATTTTGACATTTATCGTTTAATTTAATTTTGCATTGCTTTTTGATGAAGTAAAACGCCAATAAATGCCTCTAAAATGCGCCTTCAAAATCAACATTAAACTCACTAGCCTTGTGAACTATTCCGTTTTTTTTATTCTGTCACAGCCAATAAAAAGGTAGGACAAATTTGAACTTACGCGGCTTCTCAAAGGGGCTTATTTAATAGAAACTTCATTTTTTTCCACAATTTAGGAGCGGACTGTTTTTTTTTTAAATTGACTAGAAGAGAAAACGAAAATATAAGGCACAGTTTCTTCGGTGAATAGCTAATGTAGTAATCAATGTGGCCTTTACGGATGTTATTGCTATTTTTGCAAAGAATATTAGCTAATACTTTTAAGCCCTTGTGAAAAGCGCTTGTTATATTTTCGTATGGATACAATGTAAGCGTTATTTTTCATATATTTTCTATTTTTTTTTCTTTTCGTGATTTTGTGTGGTATAAATTTCAAGTGATTCGATATTGCATTTCCAGTGTCGTCACATCGTTTACAAAAAAGTGAAATATAAAATAAACAATTTTAAAATTAAATTAGTAGTTTTGCCAAGTTGGAGAGATTTCGGTTGCGCGATTCGCAGCCGTTGTTTGTTATTTGAGGTTTATACAAAATGTCGATCTTATTGTATAAACGCGTATGTTCTCAAATAATTTGAAGACCTAGAACTTTCATTCCTATCCTCTGTATTTGAAAATTATATAGCACATACCCAACGTCAATTTTTAATTTGAAAACGTCCGTTATGTGTACTAAAGGGCACGATAATTGGTAGGTATTCGTATTCGAATATTTTGTGTTTTACCCTGTCTTAAATGTACTTAAATATTGCATACGTAGCTGCCACTTCGCGTTGTTTGTATTTTTACCAAACCATCAACATGTTTTGATTTGTAAATGTTATTTTTCTTTTTTTTACAAAAATAAATATATATACGTTGACTCCTACAACACTTTTGTACACAGAAAAAATTACAAATGGGTCCCTTTCAGGCCATTTACTTTTGTGCGGAAAATAAGTGCGTATATCTAAGTGCGACGTTTTCAAATTTATCTCTGGATCAAATATATATTGTTTTTATCATTATCTGCACCTCACGACGACATAAATTTTGTCTAAACATTTATTTTATTAACCATGAATTTTTTTAGCCAACACAGAGTATGAGAGTGATTGATTTTTGAAAAAACTTTTTTTGAAAAAACTTTCGGTTCCAATTATTCTTTGGGTTCCAAAACTGTCCTCGTGATTGTCTCTAATACATCTTTCTTTACATCACTTTATATCTTAAGGGGTCAAAATACAAATAAAATTGTCGATCGTCTATCGATTGTTAGCAAACTATCCCACAGCTTTTATATGTTAAATGTCCTTAAAGGAGAAAAATATATTTTCAGAGTAACCTAGATATATTTATTTTTGTCAGGGCTAAGCGAGTTCGATTCGGTAGTCGATAGTGTTGGTGTTATCGGCTAGTGCTGCCCCGTAACATTTTTGAAATTTTTTAAATCTATCCGTAGTATCAAGGCACTTTTTGTGCGTTGATTTTGCTGAAAAATACCAACGAAAGTTCTACGCCGGTATTTTGCAACATCTCGATTACATCGCTTTTATCAACACATGGTGTAAGTTGTGTAGTCGAAAAAATTGTGCGTAAACGACCTTACATTCGTTTAAAGTCCAGTTCTCAGTATCTATGTTACTACG